ACAGCAGGTTCCAATGGACAACATCAACAAACATAGACAGAGTTCACTCTCCATTGCCTACCCGAGTCAATCACCACTGATCAGGATCCGCATCGGCAAACACAGTCCCAGCAGCAATCTCATCATACCAAACCGACCTAGTACCCTGAGTGCCCTTCATCCCCTTATCATCATGCCACCCATTAGCATAAAGGCCAACGCGGAACTGGAAAGCCCGATCATCATCAATGGTAGTCGCAATTTCCCTCTTATCCAATAGCTTATTTCCATCCAACCATAGCTTATATTGACCAGTGCCATCCGACTTCCAAGTAGCTTGGATCTCGACCTTATGCCAGACTCCCGCACTGATAGTCGCTAGGCTGGGGAAAGTCACAGTCTTCTGCGAGCAGATACTACCCTGCTTGACGCGCGTGTAGAGCTGGTCACCGACAAGCCATACCATGCTGGAGGGCATGTAATCGTCGCAGTGGGTATCGCTGAAGTCGGCGATGAATTGGGCGATGTTGTATGATTGGGCTGGGGAGAATTGCCAGTCTTCTTGCAGGCGGAAGGCGAAGCCGTAGAATCCTGTATCGCCGCGTTTGTAGACGTTGTTTTTGACCACTTCTGAGTGGTACCGGCCTGTGTAGCTGGAGTCGTAGATTTGGGTCATTTTCAGGGCGGTTGGGCCTTGGTAGACTACATTCGTCACTTGTTGCACGGTGCCGGAGTGCTCTCTGTTGATGGAGTCCCAGCCAGAGGTTGTGCCTGTGTTGCTGAAGATTTGGGTGGCCTGGGCTGTTAGGCCGAGGGCTAGCAGCGCTGCTGAGGGGAGTTTGCTGAACATTTTGGTAGAAGATGGAGGGTTGATTGTTGTAGTAGACTAATCTGCAGCGGATTGATGGGCTTTATAGACATATTGGACTTTCTGTGACTTCGTCCGTAAGCAATAAATCAAGTAAAACATGCCGATGTGCTGATAAAGTTCATTGGACTGTTGCTAGTGATGTTTGAGATGTTCGTAAGCTTTTCCTAAAAGGGAATTCAGCCGGAGCAGCTATGATCTTAGGGCTTACCACCGTAAGGTTTTCCGTAGTAGGTAGTAGTTAAGTAGCGGAAACAGGGCCCAGCCGAGTGCTACTGGGTAGAGCAACCGAGTTCAGCTGCAGTTTGGAGACATTGACCCACAATCCTGCAGATCATGCAAGAGGAATCAGCTGTTGATTGGCCAGCCCCCACAGAGTTACATTTCTTACATTTCCAGTGCGAAGGCTGACAAAGGTCAGCCTGCGTCTGACTTGTATAGGAAAATGCCTTGGGTTGTGATAGAAATACAAGTGTCAAGTGAAGGAAAGCAGATGAATGGAGTAGACACAGGAGGCCTAGCGAGACTTGGCTTTTGTTAGACACGAGCTGTTTGCCTTCTCCAGCGAGCTTCTCCTCAGAAAATTCGTCTCACTGTGTCTCACCAGTCCCATGACGCCCGACTCATTATTCCGACGCCGTGTTTCTGATGATTGGATGCAACCAGGTTTCAGTTCTCAATTAATCTTTTTATTTGGATTTCTGGCCGGCATATTAGATTATGATATATACACTTTAAATACTTTATCTAACTCATATTGTTGACATAAAATTTTGTATTCGACACTGTGTTTGGTAATCCGAGGAAATCTCGGAACTGATTTGTGGGATCGGCCCTTTTGATTATTTAATATCATTCCTAGATTCATCTCACAGCGAGAAGAAGCAGCTAGCGTCTATTGTCTTTTTACCGGCTCTTTATTAGAATATAGGTTAAGACTTGGACTCGCGATGTTTTAATAACGGCGGTACTTCGCCCCCAAATATAATAGCGCCTCTAGGGCTGAAAGTCCGTCTTACTGATGTTTACAGAGACCAATCTAAGTTTCATAATCTTATCCCGAAAGAATAAAGACTCAAAAGAAAGCCTTACGGTTCTCGAAAGAGACGGTAGACACGTGTTGTTCAGTTATCTCAAAGCCAATTAAAAGGAAACAGTGGTCCAAATCATAGTTGGAATAACATTGATGCATCCATCAACAAGATATCAATTCTATGCATTTGGCCGCCGGATAACCTTCTACTGCGAAAAGGAAACTGAACATCAAGTAGAAGCACAGTCCCAAATGTCTTCCTGATTACATCTCGCTTCAACATTCCATCCTCACAAGCTGAAAGCCTCCCTGGCTACCCTCTTGAACAGATAGATCCCGAATAAATGCCGTCTCAACGGTAGTAGTCAACAACCACTGTCTAGATAGGAGGGATATCCACCCAAAACCTGGTATCATCGGATTTGTAAGCCGAGTTACTGTCAATCTGCTGCTGGATCCAATACACAGCATTCTTATAATCTATGTATAACGTGTTAGACCTCCTGAATGACAATATTAACTACCGGAATTGGAATGAACATACTGTTGATATCGGGTGTGTTAGGATTTGCTAGTCCGCTTGCACCAAAACGGTGCCCCGCGAACCACATGTCTATTCCATAATAGTTCTGACAGTCCCAGCGAGAGGCAACATCCGCGTAGACGTTGGTACTAGGTATTTTAGTGGATTATCTTGTTGATACAGAACAATGAGGATCATACTTGAGTAGAGCCCCATTATTCCATGAGCTCTCCGGCTGGCCTACGAGTTGGTATCGGGTTGCACACACTCGAAGCATTCCCCAGTTCTGCTTGAAAAGACCAAAATTGGCCGCGTCTTAGGTCTTTCCGTCACCGTAGGTATAATCGGTAGTCAGTGTTTTACTATATCCGTTAGTAGTTTATATCTAAATGGTCAAGCCTCCTAGAGAGAGAGATGTTTACGTTTCAAGCATAGCGATAGCAAGGTCTAGAGTATTACCGCCTGCGTTCAGAATGGATTGCTTATACGAGCCAATACCGGGGACATTCTCGGACCCGCGATCTGCTCTCTTGTCAAGGGGGCTTGCAAGAGCTCCTAAGAAAGACAGGAAAGCGAGTATAAAAATTATGGCTTTCATCGTTAAAGTTAATTCTGAAATAATGAAACAAGGCCAACTTAAGGTAATTGCTGTTGAGTTTAATCGTATGGGCGATTTTTGATTCATTCACAATGAGAATGATACCTTTTATAACCTGCCGCAGGCTTGAATTTGACCCTTGTAGGCACCGGTAATGTCCGTGTCATATCCATCATCCCGTTTCATTTCTGGACTCCGGACTCTGGAGCTAGTTACTTTTCTATCTTGATCTCCTGAGCTTAGCCACAATCCTTAAGTTAATTAAGCCTTCTGTTTTGTCATCCCGTTTCCTTTCTGGACTCCGGAATCTGGAGCTAGTTGCTTACTTCTGTCCTGATCTCATGATGTTAGCCACAATCGTTCTTAAGTCAATTAAGTGCAGTGTGCTTAGTCCAACTAGTACATAGTGATCCGGGAAATTTCTCATGGAGCACGTCTGGTTGGAATATGCGAGAATTAGATTTAAGAAGCGAAGCATATCTAATATAGCCTCGGCCCGGCCCTCTAGGTCCCGTTCGAGAAATAGCGGATCTCATTTGAATAGCGTGGAACTATCTTAGTTCTTTCGGTCGGCGAATCAACGTTTATTACCTCTGAAAAAAAAAAGCTAAAACCCCAGTGTTCAGTAAACGCATCATTACATGAGACATCAATAGAGAGCTTGGAAAGTGGAGGAAGGGCCACTGTCGGGCACCGCTCTGGCCTAGGTGAAACCTGGGTGCCACGGGCTTGAATCCTGCTGCCGGATCGAAATAACCATCTAAGTGTTTGTCGGGCTGGTGTTCATTGTATCACCCATTTGTTGATCCAGCTAGTACAGATTCCAACAATTTCAGCACAATCATGAAACTTCTTAGAAGATATGTTGGGGTTGGATTGGATTTTCTAGTCTTCCTATTTCTCAAGCGATCTGGTAGTCGCAAGAAAGTCAAAGATCCGAACCAGCTCTTCACTGGCTGAATCAAGTCCTCCACGGGCATAAAATAACTCCCACGATACGTTGTAGTGAGATTTGAACGCCCGCTTCCACCGATTTACCCTTGGGCCTCAACCCTTTTCTGGAGATCCTGGACAGTCTGTGACAGAGTCTCAAGCGTTGCTAGAAGGGCTGTTCGACTACTGTTCGCCCATGCTTAGCGACTGTCGTCAAACACGACCGGGTCTGGTGACAATCCTTGCTGCATTGTTGTGCCCAGACGGTAAAATCCGAGGGAGAAATCTGCGAGAGCGAATGGCCGCAGAGATTAATATGGGTACCGGAGAGGTGATCGAACTCGCCAGGACGGGACACTAAGGAGAAAGAGCAAACCGGAAAGGTTTCTACTGATAGACAGAACAGTGCTGGGCGGAGAAAAACAAGACTCTTGGAACCTAGTCCAACCTGATGCATCGATGAGGTTGAAGACCTTCAAACAGTCAACGAAGATTATATCACCTCTGGCGCACGGTAGCGCTCACTACTACCGAGGCTTAGTGAGCGCATAATAAGTGGAATGTTAATATTAGACCAAGAGAGGGCTTGGTAGATTATATAATTTATTCTGTATATAGCTAGTATCTAGTACTATCCAATAGAAACCATGCGATTCTTACAGAATATCACTTCTCGTTTTGGGATTTACGTCTGAATCTACGTAATCCGAGAGGTGCGATACGCTCCTCGAGTTTTTCTGTATGGTTTTTTAGGTGAACATATTCTTTTGAGAATGAAATGAATCGTAGCAGAGCAAAAGAAGGGCACATTCATTAGTAACTGTGCATAATATTGGAATGGGCTTAATTACGACTAAGCGGACACGCCCTATGGTCGTATGTATTGTGTTACGTGTGAAAGAGAACTATAAAATGCAAAGGTTAATTTCGGTGTCCACCATAGGGGCCATATAGACTCTTAATTCCGAAGAATGGGTATGCACTCATAAAAGGAAGAGTGGAAAGGAAGAGAGGACTATGGCTCATGAACCCCATTGGTGCCTCGGATATCTAAACACCATCTCAGTCATGCTCCAATCGGACAGTCGTTGATGTTGTCTTGCCAGGCCATAGAGGCATAAGTGGGAAGGAATGTATTCGTCGTGAAGTCCCCCGGAAGATAAAGACGAGTGTCATCCGTCGTATAATTCTTGGGTGGATTTGCGGAATTCAATGCCGTAACGATTCTCGCACCAAGGAAATCTGAGAAAATCAGATCCACCTTGTCTGGTTGACCATCAGCTGGAAACGCAGCGGTAGCTTGAACATGGGCTGGTTGGGTGTATTCAGGAATTTCGGAGTGGGGAGTATCATCACCATCATCACCGAGGTCGTCGCATGTTGTATATCCCGGGGTTGGCGTATCCACGTCAAGTACACGACGGAAGAGGCTTTTTGGTTTCAGAAGTTCGCTCCGGTTGTGAGCTGAAGGATTGTTGCATTCATCGTAACCCAAAATCTGACTTGAAATGGTATCCAGAGTCATGGACCGTTTGGTGGTGGTTTTTGGCTTGTTTATATAGTCAAGGACCTTCGAAGCCAGCGAGTAAGGAACATCGGCGATAAATCTGAAGGTAGTCGTGTACGGGCAGACGATATAGGCATCATCCACAGTAAATGGGCCCTGAACCAGGTCGTACCGGATGGCTCCCTGGTTGACAATGATCATCCTTGAATTTGCGGAGCGATCTGGATCAACTACAGTCGCGGCAGCAGCAGTTTGCACCAACGTGTAGATGTTTCCCTCGTTGCCGAAGGGCTTGCATGATATGCAATATGTCCGTGGCGCGCACCCATACACAAATGTCAAATTGAGACTGTTGCGACTGTCTGTAATTCCTTTGGTCACATTGAGTCCCTCGGGAGTGTTCGATATGCTTTGGGATCCAGTTGCATGGTAGGCAAAAGTGAGGCGATTCCAATCCAGATACCGACGGGTTAATTGTATATCGAAGTCTTTGGTTTTGGAGCAAGATTCATCAGCTGATTCCATCATTGTGCTTTTATGGATCAAGGCATTTTCCTCTTCGGGAATTGCTGCTCTTTTTTCAAGAATTTGGGATTTGATGCCATCCAACGAAACCCAGCCCACAGTATCGCAGTATTTGCCGGATTCTATTGCCGAGGACATATTATCGTAGATGTGAAAGTCGCGGCGGTGTGTGTGACCCCCAAATCCCTGAACGGGAATTTTAGGTCGCATTGTCCGGATAGCGTTCATTAGAAGCGGGAAGCTGCTCTCGCTCTTGGGGATTCCAGGTTTGACGGGGTTGTGACCAATGAGCACAAATATATCAATGTCCTGGCGATTGACCGCATCCTTAAACCAGTCTTCCTCTATCATTTCGGCAGCTGGCTGGATTCTTGTCATGTCCTTGTTATTATTGGTCCCATCAAGGATTACCCCAAAGGCCATAATTCGGAGGCCCTGCTTCGTTGTAAAATATCGAGATCTGCGGCCCATAGAAACCCATTCTTTTTCATCTGGTTCACCATATTGGCAATTGTTGCAAATATCAATATTACTCGTCAGGTACTTGTCGCCATACATCTTGGAAAACTTGGTGAATGTGTTGTACGCAACATCGGCTGCAATAAGCTCGTGGTTTCCGGGAGTGAGAAGATCGAAGTCAATGTTTTCGAAGATAGGATTCGTGACCTCGCCGTTGAGTGTTGTTACGTCGCTGAGACCATTTCCATCATGCAAATCGCCTGCAGATAAATATTTGGTTGGCATGAATTCAGACATGTTACGCAGTAGACGCACCAGTATCAATAAGTAAGAGATCAACGTTTTTCTCTCCAGCTTTATCCCGCATGTGCTTCGTAAAGGACACAAAGTCGCCCCAGTCAGCACCATAGTTGCGCTCCTTGACGTGCCCTTCCAGCCATCCATGTGTGTCGCTGGTGTGAATGAAGTTGATTTCACCCCAGTTCAAAGGTCCCTTTGGCTGTGTTGTCGCATCCAGAGACTCGGGCTGCATACGGCGCGTAAACCTAGGATAACCCGGCGGTTCCGCTTCTCCCTCACAGGAGGGACATGCAGAAACAGTGAATATGGCAAATGCCAGTTTGAAAAAAAGGGACAATACTGCCATTCTTTCTCAAAGAGACTAAATGACTGAATACCACATTGGGTGAAGAGGTTGGTCGCTCAGGACCTGGTAAGTCACAATTTATGTATATAGAACCTTGTAATTGTTATGAATCTGCACTATTTCTGTGTTACTTTTGAGGTACTGCTGATCAGCTCATTGGTTCCTATGTTGTAGGCAAGGAGATTTAATAATTGTGTTAGACATTCTTGGCTGTACGACTTTAAAATATCCACATGTAATAAATATGTTTTCATTTTATCGAATATGCTCTATATTAATCCATGTAAGTACTGTTTGTATATGCGATACTCCTTCATTTGGGGTTTAGTTTGTCTTTTGATATGTAGGTTATATAGTTTTTTAGGCATAATCCAAATAAATATACAGTAGTGTATACTTCTTACTCCCGCCCCATTCGTTCAGGGCGGCTCCCCCACACCTCCTTATAAAAGCGGGCAATGAATGACACCTGCATACCAGCCACAGCCAGCCCCTGAACAATTACTCAGCATAGTAAGCCGCAATTGCATTATTAATATTATTAATATTATTCATTTTATTCCAAGGTTATTTCTGAATTACAATATCACTTTGGCCCCTAATTTTGACTTCAGGCTCATCCTTCATCAAGATGATGGCATATGAGTTCTTTCTGTAGCAGAGGGCGAAGTGGCCTAACGTACGAGGGGTGGGTGAAATTTAAAAACCACTACTTAGTTATGTAGTTGTTGAAAATGATTTTGCGGACCCTTGATGCGAATGGAAATCTTGCATTCTTCTTTTACGATGTTGTGTTGGATTGCTTACATAGAATGCTAGGCCCCGCCTAGGCATCTGATTACAGTCAAATGATAGGCAATAGCTACTGCATACTTCATTTAGATTATTACAAAAAAGGCAACAAAAAACATATAACAGTAAGGATCCCGTGGTGGTCACTCGAGTGAGCAGAAGAGCTTCCTGTCGGACAAGAAGCGAACTTATTGAATGAAGATTAAAAAAAAGGAATGAGCGACATTGGGACCCTGCAATTTTTTGAGATTTGTTGAGCATAAATAGGGGGCTCGTCAAGTTGTCACGTTAGATGCTACCAGTGGTTTCTAGTTGAAGGTTAGGATCACTACTTAGAGATAGAAAATATACATTACACTACGAATGTTCCGGCCTAGTATATATACCGCTACGGAGACAAAGGATGGATGTAGATGGCGGCTTGGATATTGATACACTACTTAATTGGAACATAGTACATGAAGTCGCATTTCAACTACTTCCCGATATCCGCCCAGAAGAAGATCAAGATAATCGCAACTTGCTTTATTATATGTAAGCGGCTTCGGTTTAACTCTATAGATCTCTAAGTCCCATGTTGACACAACACAAGTTAATGGGACCTCAAAAGGTCGCCCTTGTGTTCTGGTAATCTTCGATATCAAACATGTACAATTGAATTCCAAGAGCCCATGATGACTGCATTGCTAAATTTTCGGAGGGATACGAAAGGTGGACAAAGGAGCAGAGCCTGTCCAGCGAGCGATATGCCAAATACCAACACTTTCTAACACTTGGGTAGAAGTGGTAGGTAAGCTGGGCTGTGTCTGTAAATTAAGCCTTCTGAGGAAACCCCATGCCAACCAATATCGCCGGCTCAGAGATGTTATGATGCGCATAACTCATAATTCCAATGGCGCCTGGCTCCATCATCATGGTGAAAGGAAAGTCCATTGGATATTTCAGCCATCTCTTTGTGAAGGCACGAAGGATATGGCCGTGAGCAACCTAGAAATACAATTAGCATGCAGGATAGTAAGGTGCAAGGCTATACAAGAAAAGAGTTTCCATACTATTAAGACGTCCGCAGCAACGCCGCCATTCATGTGGGGTTTTTGGACATCATATATCATTTGAATAAGACGGTCTAGACGCTCGCTGACCTGCTCCGCGGTCCTAGAGTATGTCAGTGAAGCGGTCTAGCGGAAGGGAAATAAGAGAAGCACGAAAATTATGGTGAGACTCACTCTCCACCTTCACACCCATCTCTCCAGATATCCCAGGCCTCGTTGATATCTAAGCCCTTTTCTTTCCTCTGCAAACGAATTTCATGCGGCTTCAAGCCCTCGTAATCACCATAATCCCACTCCGCAATATCCTCGGTTATAGTAACTTTTCCTTCATTCACTAGTTCGACTTTCTGTGCGTCCCCGAGCAACAAATCTAGCGTGGTCTGTGCGCGCTGGCGTGGGCTACAGAAGACGTGGGCGATTTTTGACGGATCTATGAGCTTTCCAGATCCTACAAGCATCTCACTGGTCCCTCGAACTTGGCTGACGCCATTGGCTGTGAGTGGAATTTCTGACTTGCCCGTGCATCGCCCGTTGATCGTCCATTCAGTCTCACCTGTGGAAGAAAAATTTAGCTTTTAACATTTTCAGCGTATAGAGACGACACCTACCATGACGGGCGATATAAACTCTTGGTGTTGTTGCGTTCTGATCTGACATTTTCGATTCTAGGGTGAAGAGGGGAATAGCTAAGTGGGGTTGGGGATTCACAGTAACAAAATGCTCAAAAGCGGTGTTAGTAGGCGTGGCTTATTATTGATGTCTACAATGGTAGACGATGGTGTACAATATATAAATTGTTGTAGAGTTACTGTACAAACTAGGAAAGATGACTGACTATATAGTCAGTAACTATAGGATGGCGAGCCTATGGTATCTGAGAGATAACAAACACCCCCTACGATTAATACTATATAAATCGTTTAAAAAGAATCCCCCTATAGTCCTTTCCTATATAAAAAATAAAGCTATTTAGCTTCTAAAAAACCTTTCTTTAGGTATTAGGACGCAGTCCTAATTAATTAATAAATCGCCGGAACGCTGTTACTCTTAAAGGCTTTGTAAAACTATTAGTAGCTTATTCCTATATAGGAATATATTTAAGTATTACCGACCCTAATAAGACTTCCTATTATAGGAAATAGTATTATATAGTAATATACTTAGTTCTTATATAGTATTCTAGGTTCTTAGCGAGTGTAATAGTACTAGTATTATTAGTATAGATAATAACTAGCTTTTATAATAAGCTATAATCTTATATCCTTAATTTATTAAGTAGTAAGATTAACTAGTATATTTCTTATATAGCTAATATTTATATAATATACTTAGACTTAGTTAATAAGAGAGTAATATAAGCTTATTTCTTTAATACCTAAGAAATAGGCCTATTAATAAGGTAAAAGATAAAGCTAGAAGTAGAGATCTTATTAGTAGAGTAAAGACTAATATAGTTAGTATTATAGTAACTATATAGAGTAGATTAGTAATTACTTTTAAACTAGATATAATAATTAATTATACCTAAAAAGTAGTAGAATAGATATTTAAGAGCTTATTTATATTACTAGCTAAGATTTCTAGTATACTTAATAAGCTAGATAGTAGTATAGGAGATATTACTATAGGTACTAATTATTAACTAAATAATTTTATTAACCTATTCTTAATATAGCTTATATTTAGTAGGTATAACTTACTCTATTATAAGAATAAGCGGTTTTTTTTTATTAAAAAGAGTTAAAACTAGTTTACTATATTATATACTATATTAATAGAGTATTATAGTAATAAACTTCTTTTATAAAAGTCTAATTAAAGATCCTTTCTAGATAACCTTAATATCTAGGTATTTAGTAACTAGGCCTTTATTAGTAAGGTTAAAATACTTTAAAAGCTTTATAATAAAAGCTATAATAACCTCTTTAAAAGGAGTAAGAATTAAGATATTATTAATATATACTAGGATATAGATTAAAATTATTCTTTTACTTAATTACTTTATAAAGATAGAGTAGTTAGTATATATTTTTTAAAAGCTAATTAATAAGAGAGTATTATATAAAAGTATATACTACTCTCTTAGGCTTTATTTTAAGCTATAGACTATTCTTATTAATAGTTTAATCTTATCTCTAAGAATTAGAGTAAGTTTTATAATCTTCTTAGTCTTAGAGGTAATCTATTATATATTACTAGTAACTTAGTTTTTAAGGAATTTAATATAAATAGCTTTTTTAATATCTATATTAAGAAATATAGTTTTAATATCTAGGTAGTA